ACATGTAAAATTATTATATGAATTCAGAAGGCCTTCAGACAGAAGAATATGTTGCATGATTTGTAAAGACCACATCTATGGTGCTTTTGCATGCTTTTTGAAACCTAAAACCTCATGTCCATTCAGTTGCATGGACAAAAACTTGTACATTCTTCAAAATTTCCACCTTTTTTAAAATAAAAAAGCAAGTCATACAGCTTTGGAAAACATACTGGGGTAAATGGAGTAAATGATGACAGAATTTAAATTTTTGGTTGAACGACTTTGATGCACATAAGCATCATTCTATTTTTAGTTCAGATGTCGTGTGCTATCCAGGCACACTAAAAAGCCGAATCCGTACATTTTTCATTAACTATGTTTCTTCAGACTAACGGCCTCTTGATAATCACACTATCAATCACTAGAATCATTAGATAAGTAAAAGCAAGATTGAAGCTGCTTCCAATTTCAGATGCAATTCAGGGGTCAATTACAGTTCAAATTCATCCAGCGATGGACCTTATCAGGCATGAGAATCGCCAACGGTCTAAATCACTAAAACCGATATAAAACTGAATCTTTGACATTTGGAATTGGAGCTCTCTATTGGCACGTCCCAGTCTCCTATAAATGACACACGAGAAATGTTGGGCCTAGAGCCATTATGTTGCAATTTTTCTCAATGGCACTATGACAATAGGCTGAACACAAGCTGCTGCTGCTCACTGAATGTATTCACACCAGCAAATAACCTAATTGGAACCAACTCGAGTGATTTTTTTTTACAAAATAAAGCTGGATTCAATGTGAATCGAGGTCTATTTGTAGACAAATCTAATTGAATTGGCAATAAACTTGTATATAGAGGAAATTTTATTTGGGATGAATGCAACTGATTGACCCTGATTTTGGCATGAAGCTTACAGTCATATACAACTAATCTACAAAACTGCAAAGACACGACAGTGGCCCATTTTAGGAGTATTCCTCTGGAAACAGTCAATGCAGTCAGTCAGTTCAGAAGGAACATAGACCTTATTGTGCAGTAATGCACTCCTCCTAATTCACTCTTTTGCTTAAAGGGCTACAAAGACGCTTCTGACACAACAAGACGACAAACCCACGGGGCTCCAAAGTGAAGGTCTGTAAAAATAAAAGCATAGTTTTAAAATAACATCCATATCGCAGCTCTTATAACTCAGCGGTTGGTATAAAACCCCTTTAAAGTTTAGCCAAAAATTAAATCCATTTTTTTGTGGTTTCGTGAGCTCTTTCAAGACCCATTTTTTTGTCAGTGATGCCTGATGCTCTATTAGTGGAAGTTGTCTTTTCCTATACAAGCTCAAGTACGGTCTCTCCGTACACATTCATCGCCTCCAGCGTGTAGCGGCTTTAAAGGCAAATAGAACAGTCAAAAAGCAAGAGGTTATCAGATTGTGATGTAACCTAATAATAAACTCAACACCCAGTGGCCGGCATTTCCTGTTACATTGCCTGCAACCATTGATTTGTCTCTCAGGTTGCCATTTCAATTAGATACAGTATAGACTCCCCTCTCCCAGGGCAGTGGATTCTGTATTGCTCTCATTGTGTCTTACTCACTCAACTGAAATATGCTGGTCTGTGCAGAAAATTGTTTGTGTCTACATCTAGAAGTCCTAACCCTTGTGAAAAAGAAGTGTGCTTAATTGTAATAAAATTTTACTTTTTGTGTACTTCAAATCTTAAAATATACTTTTTAAAAAGTGCACTTGCAGATAATATAATATAATTTAAATTAAATTAAAGGCCACTTAAGTGTACTTAAAGAGAGT